GTCGGGCCTGTGAAAGACTGCCCAGTGCTTCTCGTCACCGCCTGTCTGGTTTGTTATTACACATATGGCCCTGTTAAATCTTCGCCTATGGCTTGATTTATGTCTCTGTCTCGTGGACACTAAGAAAAATGTTTATTGTCAAGAAAAGAACAAATATATAACTTGTCAAGTTATGAAAAAGATTGAAATGTTGAATTGAATTAACCAGTAACTGTGTCTCTTCTGTTTGTTGACTTGCATACTAATGACCTGATCTAAATTGCAAATCAATTGAGTGTCATAAGTTTTAGCACTTGCTTTACCAGTTCAGAGTGTGGGTGTGTGCGTGTGTGCGCGCACGCATATATAAATCAAGCAGGTCTGGATACCTAAAAAGAAGAACATTTTTTTTTTTTTTATGTTTATACAGCAACACATTAGCCATTGGCAAGTTCCCAATGAAGTCTTGGACTTGGAAGAAGGAAGTGAAGTTGAAGACGGATCACAATTAGTTGAGGGATAGCAAACGGCGAAACCTCTGTCCAGTGGGAAATACTGCTGTTCCAGAACAACTAGCATTTTGATTAAATGGGAGCCAAAATAGGCAAAATGATTAAATTGACATCTAAGTCCTTTAGAAGGAAAAATATGCCAGGAATTTTCTCAAAACTGAACTAGAGATCCTGTGCTGTCTCTGTCTCATTCTTTTTCTCAGCATAGATCCAGATGTGCTCTTACAGCCCACTTGCTCCATGCGGACGTATTTCAAACATCCATATGCAGCACAGGAGAAATTTGAAGTCTTTGAAGTGAGTAGATGAAGATGTAGCGGGTACTGCCATGACATGGACGGTTAGTTGGAGGAATGATCGGGCAGGTGTCTAGTTGTTGCCTGGTGCTCACTAGTCTTTCTGCTGGATTATGAACTAGGAGATGGATGTGTTTTTAGTTATAAGGTCAATTGGAGGGTTTTTTTCTGTTCCAAAGATGATATGTGCTAAAGATGTGTGTCAGAGGCAGGATATTTTACAGTTGTAGAATAAATGTAGCATTTTTAACAGATACTCACCACATTTGCTCAAGTGTGTTACTTTGCTCCTGCAACTCCCATGCTGCATGCTTAATGTAAACCAAAAACCCATATGTCAGCCTGAGAAATGTACAGTTAAAGACATAAAGCCTGGAAGACAATGCAAGAGCTGTGTAATAAAGGCCTGCTCATGTACACATTTATATTCACGTTTTTGTTGTTATATTGGATTTCATTAGTATATTGCTTGCCGTGCACAGATGGAACAAAAACACCTTACAGTGTAATCTAGGGACTCCTGACAATGTAGTGCAATCTAATACAAGAGAACCACAAACTACCAATTGCAAGTGTTGAATCCTCCTGTTCAAAAATGTTAACATAGTAGAGCAGAAGTGATTCGTCAATTAATCGATTAATCAATCAACAGAAAATGTATTGTTCATTCAGTTTTGGTCTTT